TTCCAATTACACATCCGTGTGTATGAGTGGATTTTCTTCATCTGTTTCAACCTAAACACCATATTGCAACAGACTGAATGTAGAAGTAGACGTGAGAATGCAGATATCTGCTATTAAGTCAGACTAAAGAGATTTGCAAAATGTAAAACAATGTCATTTTTCTGTTTTTTTTTTTTTTACTTGGAAAATGTAAGTTTCATAAAAGATATTTTTGTTAACATGTAATGGGTTTATTGTTTTATTAATTAACTAATAAAATTTTAAAATTTCAAATATGATAAATATCTATGGTAAGGTATCTATGGGTAAGACACTAACCACATCAAGAAAAGCCCGATTTAGAAAAGAGTAAGACACCACCATCTCTGCCCTCAGAGAGCTCAATTTTGAGAGAGACCGATGGTATGCTACTCACCTCAGTGCCTTGAAAAATGTCTACTGGCTGTGTGAAGAAACACGGAACATGGAAGCAGGAGGGGTGATCTGCCTGAGGGAGTCAGGAAGGGTTCACAAGGGAAGACAGATTTGGCTAGTTACATCCTTTAATGAGACCACAAACTCAGTGTTATAATTGCTTATATCCCAGATATTAACTTATAAATTAGCAAGAGAGTTCAGAACATTTCTCTTTGGAAGTTATGTTATAAAAATTAATGGTTTTCAAACTGGGCTGTAACCCATTAATGGACAATTACATCAATCAGTGGGTCTCAACCAGCTTTAAAAAGAAAAAATATATACTAGAAAATGCTTAATTTCATTGAATTCTACTCATATTTCTTTGCTTCTACTTGATTTGGTTTACTCTAGTATTGTTTTCCAGTATTACCGAGATACAATTAACAAGTAATATTGTGTAAATTTAAGGTACACAACATGATGATTTGATATATATTGTGAAATGACTACCAGGTTAAGGTTAGTTAACAAATCCATCACCTCACATAGTTTACTTTGGGGTGGGGGAACATTTAAGGTCTACTGTCTCAGCAAATTTCAAGTATACAGTATACTCATTTTTTAAGTGGAAGCTTAGATCAAGACTGTTCTTTCCCAATATAAGCATACAATGCTATACATTTTCCTTGAACTGCTTTAGCTGCATCTCAGAAGTTTTTATATTTTGTATTTCCATTTTCATTCAGTCCAAAATATTTTCTAATTTCCTTTCTTGAGACATCCTCTTTGACCCATGGGTTATGTAGACCTGTGTTTAATTTCCAAGTGTTCAGAGATTTTCCTGTTATCCTCTGTTACTTATTTATTGGTTTATTTTGTTTTTATTGGTTACTCTAGGGATTACAAAATATGTATTCAACTTTTCACAGTCTATTTAGAACCAATATTTTATCACTTCAGTTGCCATGTAGAAACCTTACTGCCATATAGGTCTCCTCCCCCTCCACCATTTATGCTACACGTGTCTTATGTGTTACACCTACTTGCATCATCAGACAATTTTGTACCTTTTGCATTCAACCACCAAACATTTTAAAGAACTAAGAAAAGAAGAGTAGTCTATTTACCCAGCTATTTCCATTTCTGTTACTCTTCTTTCATTCCTGATGTTCCAAGTTTCCTTCTGGTATCATTTCCCTTTTCTCTGAAGAAACTTCTTTCAGCAATTCTTTTAGAGTAAGTCTGCTGGTTGCAAATTTTCTTAGTCTTCCTTCATCTGAAAATGTCTTTATTTCACCTTCATTCCTGAAGGATATTTTCACTGGATATAGAATTCTGGGTTTACAATTCTTTCGGCACTTGAAAAATGTTATGCTACTTCCTCTGGCCTTCATAGTTTCAGATGAGAAATGTACAGACATTAGAATGGTTACATGTCATTTCTCTCTGGCTGCTTTCAAATTTTTGAGTTGGTCTTTAGTTTTCAGTAATTTGATTTTGATATGTCTGGGCATGGATGTCTTTAGATGTATCCTGTTTGTTCAGCTTCTTGAATTTGTAGGTTTGCATTTTTCACCAAACTTGGAACATTTTCAGCCATTATTTCTTCAAATATTTTTTCAGCACTTTCTTTCTCTTCTCCTGTGGGACTCCAATGACAAGCATGCTAGACTTTCTGTTCTTGTCCTGCAGGTGCCTGAGGTTCTGTACATTTTTTCCTATCTTTTTCTCTCTGTTGGTCAGATTGAATCATTTCTATTAATGTGTCTTCAAGTTCACTAACTTTTTCTTCTGTCGTCTCCATTCTGCTATGGGGTCTATCCAGTGATTTTTTTGTTTTGGTTATTATATTTTTCAGTTCTAAAATGTTTACTTAATTCTTCTTAAGTTCTATTTTTTACAGATACTTTTAACTTCTTTTACAATGTTCATGACTAAGCATTTTTATAATAACTTTTAATGTCTTTGTCAGACATTAATCCCAACGTGTGTCCTCTTGTCACTGGTAACTGTCAATGGTCTTCCCATGCAAGTTGAGATTTTGGGATACTTGATATGCCTAGTAATATTTTACTGTAACTGCATTCTGAACGTTATGGGACTCTGATTCTTGTTTGGATCCTATGGAGAATGTCAATATTTTTATTTTAGCAAGCACTTGCCCTAGTTAGGTATAGGTCAAAGTTCCAGCCCTCTTTTTGTGTGCTGTGTCCCAAAGTCAGTTCACTTGTCAAATCTGCAGTGCTATTTGGATGAGTCTCGTGTGCACCACCCAGTGGTTAGTCTGGGACCTGGGCAGAAATCTACCCGTTAGCACAGTACCCAAAGTCTTTGGTATGCCCATTAGGATCAGATCTATGATGTGCAAGTCAAGGGTGAGCCCAAGAGTTCATAAAAAACTTCATGGGGTTGCTTCCTTGATCTCTTCCCTTTCCACTTTCTTCCCAGTACTTTCTAGTTCCTTGGGGCTCCTCATTTCAGTTCAGACCAGAAACCTCCCACTTCTGGTGAAACTGCCCACTTGCACAATTGTGCCATAGCACTGGGAAAACAGAAAACAAAGCAATGGAGTTTGTCTCTGCCCTCCTCAAGTTGCAGCTCCACTGGACGGGAAGGAAGATCGTGTTCTCAGAGTTTTGGCTCCTGGGGTTTTTGATGGCCAGCCACTTTTGCTTCTGCCCCTGCTCCTGCCACAGGACTGACTGGAGGCTGGGGTGCAAGGAAATGAAGTAAAAGGAGAGGATGAAAAAACAGAATTTTCTCTACTCTGAGTTTTAGGAGTTCCCTTTTCTGTTCTGTGAGCTAGAACCAGAGGCTTTCTCCAGGGTCTGTCTGCCCCCTACTGCTCACTTCCAGGTTTTGGTCTGTGTTGAGTTGAGGCCAGAGGCTACCAGAGGAAAAACAACGTCACCACCGTCAGTGGTTCAAAGTCTGGTGGTGTTCTTTTATCCACCTGGTGATATTCACTTTTCTGAGACCCCAAATAGCTGTGCCATGAGTTCTGTTCAGGTCTTACAGTTGTGTTCAGTGGGAGAGAAAAGATTGTGTGGGTTTACTCCATCCTACCAGGATCAGCCCTTCCTGTCCTTCTTGACATCTCTCTCCTATTGGCTTTCACTGCTTCTTTGTTCTTCACTAACACTTCCTCTAGTCCTGAAATCAGTTTCCTAGAGCTCAGATATACGGCTGTCTCCTTTTCTCTGTAAGCTCTCTTTCTTGGAGAGATCATCCATTTCCAGAGCATCACGGGATTCTTTGAGGCAGATAATTCCTATACACAGGAAATCTTTATTACTGTCCACTCACCAGAGATGTTAGGTCCTGCTGGATATTAACTTGGACTACACTCCATTTCAAACTCAAAATGTCTACCGTGTGCTCTGTTAATGATGCCCTGTTCGAAACCCACCTAAAGCCCTTGTCTGGTCAGTTCTGTTAGAACATGATGCATGCGTTCCTACATCACCATGCTATGCAAAATCACACACACACACGAAAAACCCAGGGAGCTTATGGTAAAAATGGGTTTAGAGACGCAACACTTAAAAACTTAGTCAGTTAAAAAGATAACCTAATAAAAAGGGCAGGACAGTTTTACACATTATGGCACTTTACTTTGAAAAAGACCTGAAGCTTGCTTGTGGAAGTGGGCACTGGAAGGGTTGCAGCTTGTGAGGAGTTATGAAGCGATAGAGGGAGGGTTATCTGAAATCGATCGGAACGTTGTAATAGCAGATGTGATGGGTGTGGCTCACAGCACACACAATGACCTGAGGGTGTTGGTAGATGCTGAGGGCGTGCAGGTGAGTGTTTTGTGCATCCCTATGCAGTGCAGCTCAGCTGGTGCCATTTCCTGCACTCACCTCCTGTTTCTCCAGGATGAAATCACACATGAACAAATGGGAAATTTGTGTCATGCTCAAATGATCTCCTAATACATCAATCCAATTGAAATAAATTTGCTTTTTAAGAATATGTTATAGCAAAGCTGACTGCACTTGACTTTGTTTCTTTCCTCAATTTCTCCTTCCTTGGCAGTTTTCAACTCCTGATTATTTTTCCCTTCAAAATTCTCGTGTTCAAAGTGTCTCATATCTCACCCATTTTCCTTTTACATTCTTTTAAAAAATTATTATTTGACAGGTTTATTTCATGATCCTCCTTAGTGGTATCTCTCTAATACAAGTCACATATTGATACCAGGCTCATCTTTCATATATACACACACTTATGGAGTAACACATGTTAATTATATAAACATTCAGAAATACATATAAGAGGCCGGCCGTCGCCGAGTGGTTAAGTTCCTGCGCTCCACTTGGGCAGCCGGGGTTTCGCGGCTTCAGATCCTGGGCGTCGACATGGCACCGCTCATGAGGCCACGCTGAGGGGGCGTCCCACATGCCACAACTAGAAGGACCACAACTAAAATATACAACTTTGTATTGGGGGGATTTGGGGAAAAAAGCAGAAAAAAAACAGATTGGCAAGAGTTGTTAGCTCAGGTGCTAGTCTTTAAAAAAATAAATATAAGGTAAATAGGAAATTTTCTATTGCCCAATATATATATGCTATATTTCTAAAAATAGGATTGTTTCCCCACCCTTAGCCTTATGTTATGAATTATTATGAATATCCTTTCATGTCCATACATATAGATCTACAGCATCACGTTTTTACTGTGGTAAAATTTACCATTTTAATTGTTTTTAAGCAGCACTATGTACATTCACATTGTTACGCAACCATGACCGCCATCTAGCCTGAACTACTTCATCTTCTCAAATTGAAACTCTACCCATTGTACAGCATCAGTTTTAATGGTTGTATGGATATAATATAATTTCTTTCAGAAAGCCCTATTGTTAAACATTTTTTTCCCTACTATACGTATCCTTTATCAACAACAGATCTGTTGTACATACGTCTTGCACAGGTATTCAATTATTTCTGCATGATAAATTCCTAGAAATGAGATCTGCTAGGACCTTTTATACTATGAGGAATTGGTACAGCTTAGACAAATTTACACTCACGTATGGGTGTGGGTGTGGGGAAACTTTTAGATCCTGGACACCATCAGCAGGTATTACCATTCTCTTTGCTATTTGCCAATCTGATAGGGAAGTAGCTTCTACTCATTTTAATTTTCATTGTTTGGACTGCCAGCCCAGGCTATGCTGTTTAACCCACATCGTGTTTATTCTCTTGATGCCGAACTTGGAAATGTGTCCGTGTAGAAGCAGATTACGCCGCCTCTGATTTAAACAAACAGAAAGTTATATAACCCGATGCCTGCCTTTCGCCGCTGCAGCCTCTCCCGCGTCAGCTTCCACCAAGGACGAAGGCCGGTGTGACAGGCTGACACCTTCCCGCTCCCTCTTCGGATAGCCCTCCCCGCTGGGGTTTGTCCACGTGACCGCCTGCCCCCCGAACCCGTGAAGCTCGGCCTCTCCGTCTGGGCGGAGCCCCTGCGTTTCCCTCCCGCCACTGGTTCTCAGCCTTCGGGGGCGCAGCATCACCCACAGGCCTGGTTAGAGCCCTGACTGCAGCGCCCCACCCCCAGGTCTGGGAAGGAGCCGAGAATGTACACGTCTAACAGTTTCCCGGGAGGTGTGCAGCATCAGCTTCTGGTCTCAGGACACCTTTCGGGAACGACCGCTTTGCGACGCTGGGGAGCTCTTTGAAAGATCTAGACCTTACAACTCCTCTCCACCGTATCCAGCACCGGACCGGGCGTCCGCACTAAACCAGTAACAGGGCCACACATCATCGTCCCCACACGCTCGAAGCGAAGAACCAGAAGAGGACACTGGTCGGGGCACCCGGGCTGGAATCCGGACGCGCTCCAAGCCCGGCTCTGCGTTTCGGCGTCTCGCCTCCAGGTGCGCGGCGGGAGGCGGACGCCAGGGGGCGGCCTCGAGCTCGCCCTGCGCCGCTCGCTTCCGGCCACGCAGGCGCAGGCGCAGGCGCAGGCGCACGCCGCCTCCAGCTGGAGCGGGGCGGCCGGGGCGCCGCAGGTGGGGGCGCCCGGGTTGGGCCTGGCCGCGGGGGTGGGCCTGGCGGGGGGGGGAGCGGCCTGGCGGGCGGGGGTCGGGGAGGAGCGGAGCGGCGCGGCGGGTGGGCTGGGGGCGCCCGGGGGGAGCGGCGTGACGGAGCATGCCGCGGGCTGGGGGCCAGGGGCCGGGGCGGCGGGCGCGCCCTGGCTGCGCCCCCGGTGGCGGTCTCGGCCGGCCCTCCCGTCCCCTCCCCTCCCCTCCCCTCCCGTCCCGGGCCCGCGGGGCCGGTGCCGCCGCCTGGCCGTGCGGTGGAGCCTGCGGCGGTGAGCAGGCGTCCGGGTCGTGGAAGCGATCCGTCCCTGTGCCCCGTGCTGTGTTGGCACAGTGGGATTCTGTCCCTATTTTGTGTTGGGCGACGCTAACCCATTTCTTCTTTGATTGTGTAAAATTTCTGTAAATTGGTAAAAGCGAATTCTGTTCCGTTGCTTTTGTTGGTTTTAAATTAAGCTCTGAGTGTACAGCCGTGGTTCCCAGTCTTTTCCCGGTTACCAGCTTTTTCCCGTGAATGTCGGGAGTCTTTTGTGTCTAAACAGTGCCTGATTTCTCCTACCCGCTGGCCCCACAATCGTTATTCCTTAACTGGCAGGGTATTTTTAAGAACGAGTAGCTTTGTGTCTTTTTTGCTTATTTCTGGGCAAAGACAGTTCCTTCAGCCCGCCTCCGGGGCGCGGCCGGGCAGCCTGCCGTGGGGACCCCGCCGTGGGGACCGGGCGCGCCCTGCGCCGCCGCGCCGACCATGGCGGGAGGCGGAGGAGGAATGTGGGGTCGAGGCCGGAAAACTTGGCTCCTGCATGGACGGTTTAGGGCCCTTGGATAAACCATTTCAGCTCGGACTCAAGTCTCTTATTTTGACACGGGAATATTAATTACATCTACTCCATAGAATTGGTGTGAGGTTGGCACCGTGTGAAAATTGCATTTCTGGACGAGCGTTTTGCTGAGCGAGGGGTCGGAAGTGGCGGTGAGGACTTGGGGACAATCGAACGGCTGTGAGGCACATACCTGCAGAGTCGACAGGAAATGCATTCACGGCTAATGGGTAACTGGGTAATGTTGGAGATCTAATGTAGATTAGAAAATATGAATTTCTAGAGCCCTACATTTGATGTTTACAGCCTTTGAGTGGAAATGAAGAAAGCGGTATCCTTCCAAAAGAGAAAAAATTATGTAAGCTTCAGACCCTGTAAAAGCTGAATCTTCCCCTGGTGGCAAGGTGGCATCAGTGGAAGGTCAGCGGCAAGGAGGGCTGAGGGCTGGAAGGATCACCCGTGAGGTTTGGGCTGGTGAAGTCAGAGTGCAGGAGGTGGTGGATGACGGGGTCAGAGGACAGGCCCCTGAAGAGATGGAGACCCCGCAGCGGGGTGAGAGCACAGGAGAGAGGAAGCAGCCTAGGCGCCTGAGGCCCTGAAGACGGGAGGCTGAGTGGTCAGGCAGTCAGTGCCTTTTTGCTGAGTCCCTGCCTTATGCCACCCACCACGGATACAGGGGTGCGCAAAAAGGCAGGCAGTCTTCCCAGAGCTCACACTCGAGGAAGAAGGAACACCGTGGGGCCAGCCTGGTGGCGCAGCGGTTAAGTTCGCACTTTCTGCTTCTGAGCCGCATGGGGTTCTCTGGTTCGGATCCCAGGTGCGGACATGGCACCACTTGGCAAAAAGCCATGCTGTGGTAGGCGTCCCACGTATAAAGTAGAGGAAGATGGGCATGGATGTTAGCTCAGGGCCAGTCTTCCTCAGCAAAAAGAGGAGGATTGGCAGTAGTTAGCTCAGGGCTAATCTTCCTCAAAAAAAGAAGAAACACTGTGCCACGCCTGGGCATCCCAGGGAGGGGCCTTCAAGGACTGAGGAGAGCACAGGGGCTGGCATAGGGTACAGGTAGGGGTCTGAGAGGTGGACAGAGGCTGGATCTCAGAGGGCCTTATGGGAGTTTGGACTTTATCATGTTTTTAAGCAAAGAGGTGATCAGATTTGTCCTTGCGAAGGATCACTGTGTCTGCCAGAGAAACTCTTCCACATGTGCACACAGAGGTGTGTGCAAACTTGTCTCGCTAGTCGTGGTGTAGTTAGATGATCAAAAATGGCAAATTACGGGGCTGGCCTGGTGGTGTAGTGGTTAAATTTGCTCGATCTGCTTCGGTGGCCTGGGGTTCACAGGTTCAGATCCAGGTGCGAACCCACATACCGAGTGTCAAGCCATGCTGTGGCAGCATCCCACATATAAAATAGAGGAGGTTGGCGCAAACGTTAGCTCAGTGACAATCTTCCTCAAGCAAAAAGAGGAAGATTGGCACAGATGTTAGCTCAGGGCCAATCTTCCTCACCAAAAAAAAGAAAAGAAAAAATGGCAAACTAGAGTTTCATGAGTCTACTTGGATAAACCTTACAACCAATGTTGAGCTTTGAAAAAAGCAAGTTGCTAAAGGGCATATACAGTACAATACCACTTGTATAAAGCTTGAAAACAGACATATATTATGCGTTGTTATTTTGGGCACATACTTATGTGGTGAAGATAAAAAGCCTGTGTGGGAATTAGATGCACCAGTGGTTCTCAAACTTTAGCAGCACGGGAATCACCTGGAGGACTTGTTGAGACAGATTTCTGGGCTCCGCCTCACAGTTTCTGATTCTGTGGGTCTGAGTGTGGGTTTGCAATCTGCATTTCTCGAGAGTTGCCGGGTGATGCTGCTCAGCAGGTCCAGGGCCCACTGTTTGAGAACTACTGACGCACCAGCTTGAGGATGGTGATCACTTGGGAGGGAGCAGAATAAGACTGGGAGGGGTCCAAAGGGCCTTCAGCTCTATATGTAATGTTTTACTTCTCTCAAAAAGATCTTAAGAAAATGTGATGCAGTGTTACTTGACGAAGCTGGATGAATGCTCAGGATCTTATTTTGTAATTTTCCTTGTGCTTGAAACATTTCAGGAAAGGAAAAAAGATCCTCTTTGCTATGTGGAGAATGGATTGGCGAAGAGAAAGAAGTGGGAGACCGTGGGGGAAACTGTTGCAGAAGCCCAGGTAGGAGATGCTGGTGGCGTGGACCAGGGTGGGGGCACCGGGAAGGGGAGGCAGGAGCAGACTGGAGAGACATCTGGGGGATGGAATCGCGGTAGACGGTGACTGATTGGTTTAGAGGTTAGAGGAGGGGGGAATCAAGTCACCTGTTCTGTGCCTTGAGCAAGTGGGTGTGCTGTGTGCCTGTCACAGAGAGGGAGCCCTGGATAAGGGGCATGCTGGGGGCAGGAGAGAGACGTCCCCGATCTCGAGGAGCCAGCTGGGTGAAGTGTAGGAGAAAGATCTGGGCCACGGTGGAGACTCGGAAATCAGCAGCGTTTACCTGGGCACCCATGTGAGTGGGGATGCGATCACATGGGATACTTAGGATGGGTAGATGGCCTGTGACAGGCCCGCAGGAGTATCACCACCTACGCAGGCCTTGGCCGGCTGCTACCCCCCACCCATTTTTGTATGGCCTGCAGGCTAAGAATGCTTTTCACCTTTTTAAAAGTTGGCGGGGAAATCAAAAGACAGACAGTCTTTTGTGACACATGAAAACTATATGAAATTCAGATTTAGTGTCCATAAATAAAGATTTCCTAGAACACAGCCGTGGTCATTGGTTTACACAGTGTGAGGCTCCCTTTGCTCTCTGGCGTCAGTTGAATAACTGTGACAGAGACGGTAGACAGTATGTGGCCTCTCACCGCTTTGCACTGCTGGTCAGTGCACCACAAGCCACAGTGATGGAGCCCCCACTCAATTTTAGCCTCTGGCCCCTAAACCTGAATATTTACTGGCTGGCCTTGTATAGAAAAAAGTTTGCTAGTCCCGACTTGAGGTCTAAGTTGAGACACACTTGGTCACTTTGAGTGTTGTAGAAGAGAAGGCGGTTGTTTCATTCATTTAAGAGCACCTTCTAAGGATTGGGTACTGGTGGAAAAGCTCCTGAGACCGTTTGTGAGGCTGAGTGGTACAAGTCGTTATATTTTCAGTTGAAGTCCCTGAAGATGATGGGAGGGAATGGGCTGGAGAGAAAAATGCAGGCCTGGAATCTTGATGAGAAAGGTGAGCAAGCAGCCATCAGGTTGACGGGTACGGCTGGAAAGACCACGGCGGTGGGCTGAGCAGGTGGCCTCGTTTCTAGGAGAGGGGCATGCTGAGTGAAGCTGGAGCTGGTTTGCTGAGCACCTCTTGATGGGTGATAAGCAAAGTGGCGTTTCCTGTTGTTAATTAGGAAAAGCTGTACTGAATGCTCTTCTGCAGAAGAGTCCATTACTTCTAGAATTTCCTGCATAGAGGAAGCAGGCTCGCCGTGCTGACCCTTCACCTGCGGCCTCACTGGCCGGGCTAACGGGAAGCATAGACTTGTCACTTACAGAGATTGTGAACACAGTGAGTAGAGAATTTGGGGGGAAAGAGCAGACATTGAGTTTGGGAAGTATTTTTAAGTTGAGATATAACTTACATACCATAAAATTTGCTGTTTTAAAGTGTACAATTCAGTGATTTTTAGTATATTCCCAAGGTTGTGCCACCATCACCACTGTCTAATTCCAGAACATTTTCATTCCAAAAGAAATCCTCTAGCCACTAGCAGCCACTCCCCATTGCCCCTTTCACCTGGCCCATGGCAACCACTAATCTATTCTGTCTCTATGGATTTGCCTGTTCTGGACATTTCGTATAAATAGAATTATATGATTTGTGGCTTTTGTGTCTGGCCTGTTTCGTTGAGCATCATGTTTTCAAGGTCCATCTGTGTTGCTGCAGGTATTAGTGCCTTACTCCTTTTTATGGCTGAGGAATATTCCATTGTATGGATGTATCATGTTTTATTTATCCATTTGTCACTTGATGGACGTTTGAGGTATTTCCAGCTTTTGGCTGTTGTGAAAAACACTGCTGTGGACATTCGTGTGCAAGTGTCTGTATGAAGGTATGTTTTCAGTTCTCTTGGGTATACACCGAGTAGTGGAATTGCTAGGTCCTATGGTGACTCAATGTTTAACCCTCTGAGAAGCTTCCAGACTGTTTTCTACAGTGGCTGCATCATTTTACATTGCCACCAACAGTGCGTGGGGGTCCCATTTTCTCCACTCCCTCATCAACACTTGTTGTGATCTGACTCTGATTCCAGCTGTCCGAGTGGACGGGAGGTGCCATCTCGGTGAGGTTTGGATTTGCGTATCCCTGACGACTAAGGGTGTTGAGCATCTTTTCCCATGCCTATCGGCCATGTGTATATCTTGTTTGAATCTTGTCTGAATATATCTATTCAAGTCCTTTGCCCATTTTTGAATTGAGTTATTTGTTTTTTTATTGTTGAGGTGAAATATCATTTCTGAGTTGTCCATCAGACATCCAGACGGAGGTGTGAGGGAGGCAGGTCCAGCGTGCTGGCGAGGCCGGGCTGGAGCGTTGCATCTGGGGGCTGCTGCAGGTGGAGGTGGAGAGTCGTGGGTCTGGAGAGTCGCCACGGAGTCTGAGCCCTGGGCACTCCCGCATTTAGGCCCAAGACTCGAGGAGCTGCCAGGTGCAGCTTCCTGGGTCCAGGGGAAGACAGCGTTTCGAGGAGAGAGTGATGAGCCAAATGCTGCTGAGACGTCAGGCCGGGCCGCGGACTGACTGCTGTTTAGCGTTTAGTGACAGGGTCAGTGGGGGGAGTAGCAGTGAGTTTGAGAGAAATGAGTCACAGAGAGAGCTGGAGAGTGAGTATCCTTACCCTTCTGAGGAGTTTGCTGAAGAGGGAAGAGAGAACCAGGGCAGTAAGTGGAGGGAAGGTGGGGTGAGGAGAGGGTGTTGGAGTGATGGAGGAGTCAGGGCGTGACTCAGGAGCAGAAGGAGAGACTGCGCGGCGGCGACCCGAGCAGGCAGGAGGAAGCGGGCTGCGCACAGGCCCAGAGCCAAGGCTGGAGGCCGTGCTCTGATGGCTTCTGTTCTTGGGAAAATAGGAGACAAGGCCATCAGCTGAGGGTGGGGGAGGAGGTGACACAAGTTTGAAGAGAGGGGCCGTGGGGCGAGCCTGGCAGGTTTGCTGAGCTGTTGCAGAGAGCGAGACAGCACAGCATCGCACCTGGGGTCTCAGGCAGAGGAAAGAGCCTCTCACAGAATTGGGGACCAGGTGGGGTTTAGGCCAAAGCTGAACAAAGCGGGGTTTGCATGGGCTCAGAGCCAAGCAGGGCTGCCTGTAAACAGGTTAGGATCAGTCTGACTGCAAAGCGGACCCCAGGGTCGGTTTCCTGGGACACTGCAAGGTCCACATAGATGTGCAGTGTCGTTTCCGGAAACCGCTGATCTGCGGCTCTGGCCCGGGCTGGACGAGAGGCGCCTGCTCTGTGCCAGAGCGACTTGGCTCCTCCGCGCAGGAGCGGGACGCTCCCTTCTCCTCACCAGGCCTCGAGCCAGAGCCTTCCTGCTCATCCGGGATTTTTGAGAACAGAGTTTCTCAGTGAGTGTGAAAGCAGTCGTCCTTCACAGAAGAGGGTTGTTGGGCACTAGTGGCAGCGGTCCTTAGGAGAAATGCCGTTTCCTGGTGACTCGGTGGCCGGCTCCATCAGGGTCTGTTGCCCCAGCTCAAGGGGAGGCAGGTGGACTTGGCTTCCTCCAGAAGCGGGAGTGAAAGAGCTGTCTAGTCCTGATTTTGTTCCTGGCTGGCCCTGGCTCCCGGTCTCATGCTCAGAGAGGTTTCTGGGACTGCTCTGCTCAGGGAATCTTCTCCCTGGTATTCTCTGTCCTTTAACCCTCCTCACAGACATGATGATAAACTTTTGTTTCCTTGTTGATTGTCTGTCTTCCCTGCTCGTTTCCCCCTAAGCTCCAGGAGGATAGAACCCCGTCTGTTTTATTTACTCTTTTACCCCCGTGCCTAGAGCAGGGCTGGCACGTAGCAGCTGCTTAGTCTGTGTTGAATGAGTGAGTGGCCGGAAGATGGTGATGGCGGTGGAGGGAGCCAACTGGGGCCAAAGAGAGGCTGTGAGGGGATGAGGGCTCTGAGCCCAGACAGGCTGACAGGGTTCAGTGACAGCGCCTGGGCTGCAGGAGGCCTTCCCTGCGGCTCCCGGGCTCAAAGCCTGAGGGACACAGGCACTTCCATCTGGGGAGGTGGGCCATTTGAACTGTTGCCATTTGTCTGTGTGCAGAGTTGCAATTTTTATTTAATACCCCTCATTCTTGGTGCTTTGTGGCAGAGCACTTTCAAACCAGTGCCCGGGGCCGACTGGAACACTGACTGACCCAGGTGTCTGGATGGAGACCTGAGCTGGGAGAAGGAAGACGCCCCTGGAAGGGAATGGTTCCTGTCAGAGGCGACTCAGACACAAGAAGCACAGGGTCAGTTCTGTCACTGGTGTCCCCTGTGCACCCCGGTGCTGATGCTCAGCTGGCACACACTAGTGCGGCCAAACCCCCTGTCAGAGTACCGACACACTTCCTCTCTGGTTGCAGCCTGGGTCAGGCACCCGCTGTCCAGGGTCCTTCCCCAGCCCTCCCCTCCCCGGCCCTCCACCGTCCGATGACAGTTAGGGCAGCGGTACCTGCCTCCCCGCGGGCCGCCCCCAGCTCCAGTGCTCAAGCCGGAGTGCAGGGATGGGGAGTGTGCACCTCGTCAATGGTTGCTTGGTGCGGGGGTCACCTCCACGTCCTCTTCTCTCCGTTCTCACCGCTGTCATTCCAGCTCACGCACTCATCCGCTCTTGTCCTGGAGTGTTGGCGGGGCCCCCGACCAGTCTCCCAGCCTCGGTCTCTTCCACCCGAAATGCACCTTGCCCACTGGCTGAAGAGTAGCCTTGGCTTCTTAAAAACATCACGGAGCTTTGGAGTGTCTCCAGGGAACATCCCCGCTTCTTAGCCAGGTTCAGGAGGCCCTCAGTCCAGCCCGCACCCACCACCCTCGCTCATCGCCTACTGCTCTTCTTTTCCATCTTCCTCCCCGGCCCCACTCGACTAACAAATGCACAGTTTGCTTTCATTGTACTAACTGTTCATTGAATGTCCGCTCAGTGCAAACTGCTGTGGGAGAGACAAAGACGAAGTCAGACACACACCTCTCCCTTCTCATTGAACCTAAAATAGATGAACCCAGGCTGTGGTCAGTAATAAAAAACAATGCTTATGGACACAGGTGAGACTGAACATTTAGGATGAGCCTGGTATTCAGTACCTTCTTTAGTCCTCACGATGACGCTAAAGGGAGCGGGATCTGTGAGCATCAGAGGCGTGAGAGGGTTGGCACCTTCGGTCCTTGTCATCAGAACACCTTAATGGAAATCAAAATGGACTGGTATTACTTCTTGTTTCATTTTATACTCTAGGAAATTACAGAGGATAACAACATGGAAAAGAAGCCCCAGGATGGTAGAAAAGGTCTCCCCCACAGAGAAGTGCCCCCAGTTGTGGGGCTGCTGCTGGCCGTGGCCCTCATGAACGCACTCCTCTACCTCTGCCTTGACCGCTTCTTCATTTCCCCTCGACGGGCCGCCGTGGACGCAGGTCGCTGTCCCTACGGTTACTTCAGAATGGGACAGATGAAAAACTGCTCCCCGTGGCTGTCCTGTGAGGAGCTGAGGACAGAAGTGAGGCAGCTGAGGCGCGTAGGGGAAGGAGCCGTGAAGAGAGTGAGTCCTCGAGCTCCCACCGCGCCGCCCTGGGAGCGCCCACGGGTGCCCCGGGAGAGCAACTTGGTGTTGTGTGTTAAGAGCCATCGAATGTTTCTCCCCTTGAGCCCAGTGATCTCACGTTTGAGACTTTATCCTAATAGTCCAAAGGAAGGGAAAACGCTACCTGCATCAAGGATACTTTGCTTTGCCATATGTAGTGGTAGAAAACTGGAAACAATGACCCAGGGGACCGCTTAATTAGACGATGGTCCAGCCACTCGATAGAATATTCTGCAGCCATTAAGTGTAGTTAGGAACCCCATGTACCAACGTGAAACAAATCTTACAGTGATAAGTGAAAAAAGCAAAATACAAAATTGTACAATACACTATTTCCAACTGCAAAATTATGTATTTATGTAGAAAATTATAAGAATGATAGAAACTGTGCTATGGTGGAAGATTATGGGCAATTCTTTCACTCTTATTTTTCAAACTCTATGATGGTGGTATATTGATGTTTTAAAGTTTTTTATTTTAAAAAGAGAAACCAGAGGCCAGCCCGGTGGCACAGTGGTTAAGTTCGCATGTTCTGCTTTCGTGGCCCGGGTTCACCAGTTCGGATCCCAGGTGTGGACCTATGCACCGCTTATCAAGCCATGCTGTGGTGGCATCCTACATATAAAGTAGAGGAAGATGGGCACGGATGTTAGCTCAGGTCCAGTCTTCCTCAAAAAAGAAAAAGAGAAACCAAAGGGGTGAATTCAGTTCTCAAATTGAAGCTTTAAGAGCCCTTGTCTTGTCAGCAGCCGGTTTATGTTGTGTCTTGGCAGTCGTCGTTTCATGGTGGCTGAGGCTGCTGATGAAACAGTGACTGGAAGCCAGTTAAGGATGGCTGAACAAAGACAGTTCCTTTGTGAGGATGCGCTGAGTGACTGGCAGAGGCAGGCAGGGGGCAGAAAATGCGTGTGTGGGCCTGCAGCAGGAGAAGGAAGGGAATTTATATAAAGTGAAACCATAAAACAAGGTAACTGACTGATTGATTTGTTGTGGGTGCTAGGGGTGTGGCAGTGAACGAACTAAGGACCCTCGGAGCTTGCTTTCTAGCAGTGGAGTCAGACAATCAAGAAAATAAGAGACAGATGTGTAATAAAATATGTTAGTGATACATGCTGTGAAGACGGAGCGGGGCAAGAAAAGAGTTGTGGGCTTGTTACTCTCGCTGGGCAGAGTGATCCAGAGTGAGCCCTGTGGATATTTGGGGAAAGATGTTCCAGTAAGAAAGATGAGTACCAGCAGGGCCCCCAGGACAGAACATGCCTGGTTGTCTGGGGCTGAGGAGGGGGCCAGTGTGACCAGAGGCCAGGATGGGAAGGGCTGACAGCACAGGAGCTCAGAGCAGGGCCATGCTGGGCCTGGGAGGACTGGGGCATCATGGGAGCAGTTTCAGGCGAGGGATGAGGTGGCCCGACCTGTGTGGAGAGGGCCGAGGCTTGGCCAGGGTGGAGGGTCAGTTAAGTATTGCAGGTAACAGATGGTCATGGCTTGACAAGGGTGTCAGCAGTGGATGTAGCGAGAAATCAGTGGGTTCTGGATTTTTTTTTTTTTTAAAAGATTGGCGCCTGAGCTAACAACTGTTGCAAGTCTTCTTTTTTTTTAATTTCTGCTTTTTCTCCCCAAATGTCCCAAGTACATAGTTGTATATTTCAGTTGTGGGTCCTTCTAGTGGTAGCATGTGGGACGCCGCCTCAGCATGGCCCGATGAGCGGTGCCGTGTCCACGCCCAGGATCCGAACCAGTGAAACCCTGGGCGGCCGCAGCAGAGCGCGAAGACTTCACCACTCGGCCACGGGCCAGCCCCGGATGTATTTTAAAGGCAGAGCTCATAGGACCTCCCGTATGGTGGATGTGGGGTGTAAGAGGAGGAGAGGTTGACTACCAGGTTCTTGGCCTGAGCAACAGGGCACAGGGAAGATGGGAAGGCAGAGATTCTGTGTCTGCGTGAGGTGGACACGTTAAGGCTGTTCAGATGTCCAGTGGAGACTCAGGCGGCTGGGTGGGTGCACACGTCGAGCGTTCGGGGCGGGGGCAGGGCAGGGATACAGATTTGGGGGTACTGAAAGCACTAGGATGTGGAGAAATCGCCAGGAGCGATGCAGGCAGAGGAGGGGACTTGGAGCCGGCCCTCTGTCGCCTTCCAGGCGGGCACCTCACCTCGCGGGCCTGCCCGCACGTTTCCGTGTCCTTGCGGTCGCTCGGAAAGTGTTTGGAGTTTCTTTTTCAGAATTGCGTTTTACCCTGAAGGATGTGTTTTTGGGTAGTTTCGATGGTGACAAACCGTTGTTTGAGGGCAGATTTGATTTTAGGGAACTCTCCAAAGGATGCCCATCCGAATATGGGGTTTGACACTATGGGTACCAACTCTGAGTCATGGAGTTTTGTTTGTTAAAGTGAAGGGTGACTAAAAAGGCTGATACACTGATTTTTTCTTTCTTTGACTAAAACCTGCCCTCAGGGCAAAAGTGTTTCGAGCATCGTCAGGAGCCATGTGTGTCTTGCCCCGCTGGAAACCCCAGAACCTGTGCGGGTTCTGGCCCAGAGTAGACTCCTTTCCTCCATGGAGGCACTTACTTGAACTGCCCCTGCATGGAGCACTGTCCCGTTGCTGCCACCACCACCTCTCCACACGGGTGTCCCTCCTCGCTGACGCTCCAAGCCATGAGGCATAGGGTTCTCCACAGGAATTTCTGTAACCGAAGTTCTGCACGCCCCACTCTCTGACCTCCTCTCCTCTCTGTCTGCACCCCTGCTTCCAGAATACCTTAGTCTCACGGGACCCCCAGGGTATCAATCCCATGACGTTCTCACTGTCTGATACTCCGCCCTGTCTCCACTCCCCGATTCACCCAGCAGCAGAGATTCCATGGCTCTTGTCCTCATCGTTCTTCTGCAAGTCTCGCAACAAAAACTCCAGGTCAGATGTCGCCCTGGCTTCCTCTCACTTGGTCTTTCCGCAGCCCGTGATCCGGTTGGCTCCTCCCCTGTCCTTGCACCCCTGGGCCGCAGGGCTCCTCCTCCTTCACTGGCCGTTCCTAATTCCTCTCCTTTGCTGCGTCTGTTCCCTCTCTTGCCTCCAAATCAGTGGTTCTCAGCCAGAGGTGATTTGCTCCTCCGGGGGACATTAGCAATGAAGGGAGATGCAACTGTGGTTGTCACAACAGTGGAGGGAAGAGGTGATACTGGCATCCAGTTTGTAGAGGCCAGGGATGCTGCTAAAAACATCCTACAGTGCACAGGATGGCGCTCACCCTCAACAGGAAATCATCGGGCCCAAAATGTCAATAGGGTTGAGGATGAGAAAGCTGCTTCCTCGTGATTCTTTCCTGGATCCTCCTCTTGTCTTCTTTAGGTGATGTAATCTAGCTCCATTGCTCTTTATATGCTGACGACTCCCAAATTTGTCTCTCCAGCCTGCCCCTCTCCCCGGAGCCACAGGTCTGTGTATCCGCCTGTTTATTTGATATCTCTGCCCAGGGGTGTCTGGAGCATCCATGTCCTCCTGATAATTTCCCCCTCTGAAACCTGTTCTTCTCCCAGCCTTCCTTATCTCAGGAAGTGCCATCACTTCTTACCCAGCTGCTGAGCCCAAACCTGGGAGTCGTCTAGAGTCCTCTCACCCCCTCCACCTTAACTAAGCCAGGAGCAAGTTCCGTCAGTTATATATTCAAAACGTATCAGACTGGTTCCATGATCTCTCTCACCCCTGACGCACTGCAGCGAGTCACCATCAGCTCTTCCTTGGAACCGGTCTCCCCACTTCTACTTCCGCCCTGCCCCTCCACCAGGCAGTCGGCCCCTCAGCACAGTTCAGATGTTGCCGCTCTCTTCCTCTAAAACCCCTCTGGTGGCCTCCTATTGTCCTTAGGAAAAAAGGCCACACCTCTTACTGAGACCTGCCACACCCTCCCTGATCTGGATGGGCGCCTGCCCCCCCCCCCCCCCCCCCCAAAAAAAAAAAATGGAGGCCTCCCAGGTGGTTTTCTGCACTTTTACTCGTATTAATG